GCCTGCTTCTCCCTCTCCCACTCCCCCTGCTTGTGTTCCTGCTCTCGCTATCTCTCTCTCTGTCAAATAAATAAATAAAATCTTTAAAAAAAAAAAAAAGCTCAATAATCATTTTTTATACTTAGTACATGTTGAAATGATAAGATTTTGTGTATACTGAGTTAAATAAAAAGTATTGTTAAACTTAATTTTAGGGGTGCCTGGGTGGGCTCGGTCAGTTGAGCGTCTGCCTTCTGCTTGGGTCGTGATCCCGGGGTCCTGGGATTGAGCCCCATGTCAGGCTCCTTGCTCAGCGGGGAGTCTGCTTCTCCCTCTGCCTGCCGCTCCCCCTGCTTGTGCGCTCTCTCTAACAAATAAATAAATAAAATCTTAAAAAGCAAACCAAAAACAAACAAAAAAACCCCTTAATTTTGCCTGGAATTCCTGGCTGGCTCAGTCAGTGGAGCACGTGACTCTCGATCTCTGGGTTGTGAGTTTGAGCCCCACGTTGTGTGTAGAGATTACTTAAAAATAAAATTTTAAAAAATTAATTTTACCTGTTTTTTAAATTGATTTTTTATTGAGATACAATTGACATATAACATTGTATTAGTTTCAAGTGTACAACATGATTTGATATTTGTATATATTGCTAAATAATTGGCACACTAAGTTTACTTAATATCCTTTACCTCACATAGTTACAAACTGTTTTTCTTATGATGAGAACTTTTAATTTTTTAAATTTTTTTTAATTTTTAGTTTTTAATTTTTTTAAAGATTTTATTTATTTGAGAGAGAGAGTGAGAGAGAGAAAGAGCACAAGAGGGGGGAGCGGGAGAGGGAGAAGCAGACTCCCTGCGGAGCAGGTAGCCTGATGCTGGACTCGATCCCGGGACTCCAGGATCATGACCTGAGCCGAAGGCAGTCGCTTAACCAACTGAGCCACCCAGGCGCCCCTGAACTTTTTTTTTTTAAAGATTATATTTATTTATTTGACACAGAGAGACACAGTGAGAGAGGAAACACAAGCAGGGGGAGTGAGAGAGGGAGAAGCAGGTTCCTGACTGAGCAGGGAGCCCGATGCGGGACTCGATCCCAGGACCCTGGGATCGTGACCTGAGCTGAAGGCAGACGCTTAACGACTGAGCCACCCAGGTGCCCCTCACACCACGTTTTCTTTATCTATTCATCCACTAGTGGTCAGTTAGGTTGTTTCCAGGTGTTGATTATTGTAAATAATGCTGTGGTGAACACAGGAGTGCAGATATCTCTACGAGATCCTGTCTTCGTCTCCCTTGAATAAATACCCAGACATGAGATTGCTGGATCATATGGTATCTCTCTCTTTTTTTTTTAAGATTTTATTTATTTATTTGACAGAGATAGAGAGAGCACAAGTAGGCAGAGAGGCAGGCAGAGGGAGAGGGAGAAGCAGGCTCTCCAAGGAGCAGGGAGCCTGACGTGGGGCTCGATCCCAGGACTCTGGGATCATGACCTGAGCCGAAGGCAGCCGCTTAACTGACTGAGCCACCCAGGCGCCCCAGGTATCTCTCTTTTTAATTGTTTTGAGGATCCTCAATACTGTTTTCCACAATGGCTGCACCAGCATACACTCCCACTAACATTGCACCGGGGATCCCTTTTCTCTACAATCTCACTAACACTTATAATCTTTTTTATAATAGCCATTCTAACGGGTGTGAGGTGGTATCTCATTGTGGTTTTGATTTGCCTTTCCCTGATGATTAATGATGTTACCCACCTTTTCATGTACCTGCTGGCCATTTGTATGTCTTCTTTGGAAACCTGTCTATTGAGATCCTCTGCCCATTTTTTTAAATTAGATTGTATTTTTTTAACATGGCTACTAGAATTTTGAATATTATATCTCACATTATGTATCTACCGAAAAGCACTGCTCTAGATTTCTTTGGTGTATAGAAACTGTTCATAAAAATAACTTGATAGGGGCACTTGGGTGGCTCAGTCGGTTAAGTGTCCACTCTTGATTTCGGCTCAGGTCATGATCTCAGGGCTGTGAGATCAAACCCTGCCTCGGGCTCCGTGCTGGGCATGAGCCTGCTTGGGATTGTCTCTCTCCCTCTCCCTCTGCCCCTCCCCCTTCCTCTCTAAAAATATAAAAAATAAATAACTTGATAAATAGGTTCTTCCAGCTGTTGGGTGGATTAGAGGCCTCAGGGTTGGCAGCCGGCTGCTAGCGTTGGGGGCCAGACCGGGAGGGCAGTGGTGAATAAGAATGTCCATAGCAGGGGCACCTGTTAAGCATCTGCCTT